GTAGGGCAAGATAACATTAAAAAAAAAAAATCTATAAATTGGTAAATAGGGTTTGATGTTGGTTTTGATTTGCTAATTTTAAAAGGTAGAAAAAGGAATGTGCATAGCCAGTCAATCCCATTTTCTTTGTTTCTTTTGGATTGAATTTGGATAAATTTATAAATGCAGTGTCATTTCAAAACAAATTTGAAAGATTTGATATAAAAATGCCAAAAGAAAGTGTCTTGGATTTTAAAAAGTAATTATTGGTATTTTCAAACACAGATTGCATTCACCAGCTTGAATTTACATTTTTACCTGAAAGTAAGGGTTTGATAAAAACAATTCAACCAATTCTGATCTTGAAAACTTTTGTCAGGAAAGCACCAGCTAAGAATGCAAAGAGAGAGGATATTGCTTGAGATTTCCTAGCTCTTAATTTGTTTCCCTAATTCAGCTTAACTCTTTTCAAAATTTAGTATTAACACAATTAAAAATGAAGCAACCCAAACTTTTCACTGGTTGATATGAGGAAAACCAGAAAAATCTCACAATGCTCTAGTTAGTTTTGACCCTGTAGGCTGCAGCATGTTTACATTTCAACTTCATCTCCATTTTTTATTTTGTCCGGAGATGTTTTTTCAGTCAGCTGCCAGTGAAAACTACATTTGGCGCTTATCAAGGATCAGGGCTTATTTTGTGTGTCAGTTATTAAGACCAGTTGAGAAGTTCATTTGAAACTGCAAATCTGCCCAAACATGTCTGATTTAAGTAATCCAAATAATAAGTTCAGGTTCACAATTCATTCCTGTTTCTGGGGGAGGGAATTTGATCAAAATAGGAGAAGAATGTGGTGTTTGTACTCCTGCTTTAGTTCCCCTTTCCAGACCAGGCTCGTAGTTACAGTAATAGCAGACTTAGCTGATTGATGTGTTGACATGCCTTGATTTATTTGGTGCAGCAACCAAGTGGACTAGGTGCACTGCTCCGCATGCCAATCCCTTACATTGTCTAAGCATTGTTCTTGTATATTGCTTTGTATATCTGACAAATTTACTCTAATCATTTACTGATTCATATCTCAACTGGGCTAGGGAATTGTATCTAAATTCTCTTTAAATGGAGACCATGGACTCAACCACTGTGAGTTAAGAAAATTGACATGCATCAGCATTGTGAGAACAAAGAGTACAATATCTTGATAGGAGGAAGATGATGTTTTTTTCTTATATACATATATATGTATATATTTATATATAAAGGATATAAAAATGGGAGGTTAAAGTCTGTGTTTTCCAAAGTCGCTGTTTTAGTGGTTAATGACTTTGGAAAGTATATGGTGTGTCAGACATGGGAGAGACATTTATGTTTAGATATTATATAGTGGAGAAGGGGTTGTGGGGATCAAATGAAGGAAAGAAGGAAAGAGGGTTTCATACTAAGAGAGTAGTGGTGCTTACTGAGATATGACTGGAGCATCTGGAGATGAAAGGCAGAGCATAGCAAAACAGAGGGTTAGGAATTGAGATGAATTGCTTTCTATGCTGTACTGACCCAGATTGGGACTGTCTAGATTAGCTTTTGCAAAGCTGAACTAGATCTGTCATGCAGGCTGTTATTTTCACAATGTTTCTACTTTCTCTATTCTTAGTAAATGCAGTTTTCCACAGCCCTTGAGGCTTCATTGCGTGGTTTGGGTATCAGTTACTTCAGAAGCTTCTTCCCTGGCATAAGCAAGTAAAGGAGAACTGAGATTTGGGGAGGTCCAGGATCTTGGTTGCAGAAGATGAGGGGCTGGGCATAGCTCTCTGCCTCTATAAGGGTGTGCAGAGTGCATCCAAAACCCACCAAGGGAGTTGCCTTTCTAGGCTGCCTCCTCTTGGTTGGCTGTCAGAAGAGTTATTCTTCAATGTTGGGGAAGGAAATAATTGTTTTCACTAGATTTTGATACAGGTTATTTAAAGACAGAATATGTGGAATAGTGAAAGATTGTTACAGAACAAGAAATACCAGGTAATAAATTAAAAAAAAAATCCTTTTGGATGGATTGCAAGTGGATTTGGAGAGCAGAAAGCTTACTTACCTTGGCTTTGGCCTAAAACCTAGGGGAAAGACCTCATATTTTTCTGAGCACTTTTTCTTGGGTGGTTCTTGGCTATTTTGTACTACTCTGTGAATTCCCTTTTGCTAAAAGATCTCTCTGATTTACCTTCAAAGGGTATTTCTGTTGGTTCATTATTTTGACCTAAGTTGTGTCTTTCATACATGACTGGGTTGTTATACATTTTATTTCTTCTCTAAAACTACATTTTTCCTCTGCAGCTGGTTTGTTTGTTTGTTTGTTTTTGTTAAATATTCTCTCCCAAGAGACTGTTGGCTATTTATCAATATTTGATCTCTCTGTAAAGCATACTTCTGTGGGGTGGACATTTATTATGAAATGGTGTCTCTAAACAGGATCTTATCTGTTCTTGCTCTGTTTCTCTATTTGCCTCTTTCTTAGCTAGTGGCTTTAAGAAGTACTCAATGTCTCTATTTTAACAAAATTAAATGCAGTCATTAAAATGGCAAATACTAAACAGCAAAAGGAGATGCAATAGAATCCAGTACAATTTCCAGCAGATGCTTAGCAAAGAGCTTGAATCTGTGCTAGATGTTTATAGGTATAAGAGAAAAAATCCCCTGCATTTCCTTCAAATGTAAATACTGGAAAAACTGTTTTTAATGGAGTTTTCAAAAAAATTAAAGTAGTAAAATAAATAGCAGAGAATGCCATGTATGTTGACTACTTGTTCAGCCAGGCTAAAAATTATTGAATCCAATGCATTCTTAATCCAACTTTTTTGATTTTAGTGACACCAAACTGGTGATGAGCCTGAACCTTGAACATTGCAACAGTTCCTTAATTATACTCTTTCTTCAGCCTGTGTGAGCAAAATTACTGATGATGTTAGAGACAAAATAGTTTTCATTAGGAGATCATAAAAGCGACAAAAATAAGTGGGAAAAATATTTGTGAGGGTTTCTCCTTCTGTTTGAATGGAGCTGTTAGGTAGTAAGGAAATTATCTTTAATGCAGGCTGCACATCTCACTAATGACAAGAGTGTTTCTCCCAAGAGTAAACTGAGGCCTCTGAACTGGTTTATGGATACCTCAATAGAAATAGTTGCATTACTCTCTCCTCTGCCTGCAGGCAGTCATTGAGAGCTTTCTCTGAGGTACTCTTCTTCCCATAGATAATTTTGCAATATGTATGTAGAGGAAAATCTATGCCATTTTAAAAATAATTTCTTTAATGCATTTTACATATTGTACTTTCAATAGTACTAAGTATTTCTGGCTGCCTCTTAAGTTATCCATTATTCATTCTTCATTAGCTGAAATTCCAGTCTACCCAGAAAGTACAGCATGCAAAAGTCTTGAAGTTCAGTACGTACTAATATTTTCTAACCTTATTTTTCTCAATATCCAACTATAGATCAGTGTTGGTTTGAAAGTCAGGTGTTCAGCAACTGAGTCATGATTTTTTTTTTCTAAATAGAGATCAAGAGAGTGCTCAATAGCATGAGATTTATGAAATGCGAAAATTTTGGGATATTTTTATTTGCTTTTTGGCTCGTAAGCCTTTTGAATTCACTGAGGGTATGTATTGTTTTGCTTCGCTTCACTGGAACTGTTAAATCTAAAAACATAATATTTTTCTTCTTGTACTATACTAACTTCATTCAGGGATCTAGTGGTTTAAGAAACTTCCCTCATGTAGGTCACTCATGAAAAACCACTAAGTTTTTTCATGACTGAGTTCTGATCTTATGCTGTAATGAGACAGATTTTTGCTGCTTAAGTAACATAAAAAGACCCCAAATCTTCCCTACTTGAAAGAACACTCCTCAAAGTGCAATCTTGCTTTATTGTTGAGACTAATATGGTGTTATTAGGGTTTTCCAAGAGGTCTCAAAGAGGAGTATGTTAGTCTTCTGCTATCCATGCCTGAGAATGGAGGGAACACAGATTGCTTTGTGCGCTCCAATTCTGCCTGAGACTCCATGGTTCTAGTGTGATTTCCTAGAAAAATTGTTGACATTTACTCCATTTCAGTATGCAATTATTAATTAGCATACTTTTGATAATATTTTTAGGTTTTAGATATAAATTTGAAAGTTGAGACTGTGTTGAAAACATCCTGATAGGTCATCACATTTGCATGAAGAAAATAGTTTAACTTCTGTGTTAGCTGGGCTGGGTTTTTGTGCTGTCCAGATGTTCACGCAGCAGTGAGAAGATGTTATTTGGGAATTGGAAGATGCTTTTTGCTGCTTTCTTTTAACCAAAAGGTATTTGTTGCTATTAATGGTTGTGAAGTGAATCCTTGTCTGTATCCTACGGCTTCTGTCTAAATGTGTGCTATTAATAACTACAAATAAATGTCAGCCAAAAAGGACTTCGAGCTTTCGAGAAAACAATCAAGAATGGCAAAAAATGATGGCATACAAAGACTCACAGATAACACAGATCTACAGCACTGCCATTTGTCTTCCTCCCCTCATCACTTAAGCTGTTCATTATTGCCTCATTTGTATTATCTGCAGACCAGCTGAAAAATGCCTCAATACAAAGAAAGCAAAACCATTTCACAGCAGTAAGAGTTACATTCACGGGCAGGTAAAGCAATAGGAGAAAAGCTTGCAAGAGTCTTCACCACTAGCTTCGCTGCTTTTGCACCCTGTTCTCTCTTATCCTTTCCTCTGCATTTGTTTTGTTAAGGGTTATATGAGTACACATGCTACCCAGCAATCTGATTTTCAAGTGCGAGTACTATTAAATGATCACCAGTTATATAAGCTACAGGCTGTAAATGTGAAACCATAGTGATTTGTGATGTTCTTTTGGAAACATCTGAGGGTTTGTAAAAGTGCTTGTATTGAGGATGTTTTTGAGAATGTGTGTGTAACGCAAAAAATATATTGGTCATTAAAATTTCCTGTGTAATTCTGATGTGCCAAAAAAATATCTATTTTAGGTTTGCCAGAACCAAACAGAGACAGTATATTCCGAGGATTGAGAATGGATCAAGGATTCTACACATCTAAAGACTTCTTACCTTTGGTAGCAATGGCAAGTAAACCAGGTGTGTGATATGTTCTTGTTGTAATCACATTCAGTAAGTCATTAGTAGTTGTTGATATATAAAACTGTTTGGTTGCATAACAGCTCATCCATTTATGAAGCACCTTCTAATTAATAGATCTGGGACAGGGTTTTCTCTTCGGGAGTGACAACCTCAGGAGTATGGTCAGGAAATTCACTCCTAATGATTATAAACCAGATAGTCATAGATAAAAATCGTAACACATGGAAAATCATTACCCCTAATAAGTTATATTTGTTATTTTGAATTATAATCAAAAGGTGACTTAAGCTTCTCATTTGTATAAATTATCTTGATAGAAATAGCATATATAAGATAGTCTTGAAAAAATCTCATATTAAAGAAGGTGTTTCCAACATATATAAACAGCTGCTTTGTATATTGTTGATAAATTGTTTTACTTGATTCCAAGTCACGTGCTGCATGTTTTACAGACACATTTAAATCAGCACTAATTCCTTACCCAAAGAACTTGCAGTCTAAGACTCAGGACAACAGGAACGTGGCAGGAGTTAATAAAACAACGCTCAGTTCGTAGGCACTGAATGCATTCTTGTTTTATGCTTTTACATCTTTCTTGGAGTACAGAGATGGCTGCATTTGGTCCCCAAGGGGTATAGCTGCTTTCAGTGTCCTGAATGTGCAGTCATAAGCTCTAGATGTGTGATTTCTATGCCACATTCCTTCATGGTGTAGATTTCCCAATGTGTTGATAAAAAGAAAATTAATGTACGGTTTCTCTGGACATATACTTAGAACAGAATGTGGTATTTTACATATCATAGAATCATAGAATATGCTGTGTTGGAAGAGACCCATCAGGACTCTGACCCTGCACAGGACATTCCAAGAATCATACCATGTGCTTGAGGGCATTGTCCAAACACTTCTTGAACTCAGACAGGTTTGGCGCTGTGACCACTACCCTGGGGAGACTTCCCTGTCACTTCTATTGCCCAAGCACCCTTTGGGTGAAAAACTTTCTCCTGATATCCAACCTAAACCTCCCCTGACTCATGCCATTTCCTCGAGCCTGTCACTGGTCATGAGAGTGAAGAGTCGGTGTCTGCCCCTCCTCTTACCCTCACAAGGAAGTTGTAGACTTTAGTGAGGTCTCCCCTCAGTCTTCTCCAGGCTGAACAGACCAAGTAACCTTAGCCACTCCTCCTAAGGCTTCCCCTCCAGACCTTCACCATCCTCATGGCCCTCCTTTGGATACTCTTTAATAGCTTAATATCTTCTTATGTTGCAGTGCCCCAAACTGCACACAATATTCAAGGTGAGGCTGCCCTAGTACAGAGCAGAGCGGGACAATCCCCTCCCTCGACTGGCTGACCATGCTTTGCCTGATGCCCCCCAGGACACAGTTGGCCCTCCTGGTTGGTCCTCCTGGCTGCCAGGGCACTGCTGACTCATATTCAACTTGCCATGAACCAGGACCCCCAGGTCCCTTTCCACAGTGCTGCTCTCCAGCCTCTGGTTCCCCAGTCTATACACACACCCAGGGTTGCCCAGTCCCAGGTGCAGAATCCAACACTCACGCTTGTTAAACTTCATACGACCACGTATTTAATATAACTGTTTTATCTACAAACTGATTTTCATTTGAGCATTCAGAAATTTCTTTTAGCATCATATAGTGTTGCCTGCTTATTTAGTAGACCTTCCTTAAACACTGTTGAAGAATATATCTTCTGTGGCAAATTATTCTGCCTATAAAAGTAAAGTTTATTACCCCATTTTATGCAAAATATTTAGGAAGTGAAATTCTCCACCCCATCTGTCCCATTTCTCTGCTGTTTTGATCAAATGCTTATTTCTGTCTGTTTTCTTAAGCTCAAAGTGAGCTTAAATGGTTTGGGAGAAAGGGGTGGGGTTTTTGTTTGTTTTTTTTTTAGGAAAGAGATGTTTAAAAATAAAACATATTGAGAATATGTACTGCAAAACATTTGTAGATTAACAAAGTAGAAAATAAATCCCACAAAACAATGACTAAAAGTACTTTCTAGAATTCTTTGAGGACATGTAGTGCTTGTGTACTGTCACCTGACTGCATGAGGATTTATATACTGCGATCTGCATCTTTTAAAATATTGCAAAGTAACACTCTTGATTTGGTAGGATATGTAATGATTTTTTTTTTATATTAAGTCTACAATGAGAAAAAGGATGAACTTGGAAGAACTAACCTTTTCTGACTGACAGTAATAGACATCTCTTTGGTGTTGTCTGTTAATTAACATGGTCTCTTTTGCTTAATTTTCCTAGTGTCTGTCTGTATCTGTAGCTACCTCTTGCTCTCTAAGGCATGGAATTTTAAAATAAAATATAAATGTCCTACATCCTACTTTATCTTCTTTTTTTCACTATGACAGTTTTTTAAATAATAGACATAATAGACTTAGTCACAGTAAAGTACATATTCTTCCTGCTTATTAAGTTCTGAATACCACCTGTTAATGTACTTTCCTCCAAAAGGGGTTCCCCTTGCAAATACATAGATGTGAATTTACCGTGGGAGCAGCATGTTACTAAGACCAAAATGAGCTACTGTGACTGATCTGTTCTGGACTCATGCTGTAATGGCACTCTGAGCTGCCATTCCCCTGCTGCACTTCTGCTTTCTCCACTGCTCCAGTGCCCAATTTTTGTGAAGGATTAAGTTCATTAAAAATAAATGAGAAAAGTTTAGAGAAAATTTTAGACTTAAGAATCCTATTACGGAAATAGTAAATGCGATGCCATATACGTGGTGGGGGGAAATGATAATGTTTGTCATACATTAAGCATTTTACAAATGGAGAGAGAGTATGTATATTAGGATATTGTTTCTCAATCCATTTAAGCATTGTTTACATGTATCATACTTGTGTTCCACAATTACATATAAAAATCTGCTGCTGCTATAGACGGATATTTGAGTTACGGTGCAATGGTTAAATTGCCAGCTTAGTGCCTCTTGACTGGAACTGTCACAGGCTCATTGAGAATATAGCTTTCAGTTATTTATGTCATTATTTTTCAAGTTGCAATCATTTGCCTAATCAACAGTTAGTTGTATTTAAACGTGATAAAGTGCAGTCTTATCCAAGGAACAGACACAGTTCAGTTTTATTTAAGTATTTCTTGTTGAATTGAATCAAATGCAAACTGTAGATGACAAATACAAAATGTCATTCTCTCCGTGTAACGTTTTACAAATCCTTTGTAGAAAGCCACTGTAGGTTAACCATTTTCTCTCAATGGAAGATCCAGGAATTACTGTAATAACAATACTCTTTCTCCTCATATTCAGCTGCTGCAGCAAATAGCCTCTGAGAACCATGTCATAGCCAGAACAGTCAGTGCTTTATAGAAGACTGAGAGGACTAATGTTGATACACTATTACACAAAACAATTGGTCATCTTTTTTTTTTTTTTTTTAATTGAGAGGATAATCAATCTAATAAGAGAGAAACTTTCTTTTTGAGTAAAAAGATCTCACAATGCTAGTTGCAACCTGACAGGACACACAATCCTACAAACGTGTTGTCATTTGAATTCTTTCTTGATAGAAAGATGCAGCTGCTTAAAGTACTGACTATGAAATTATGTATATGAGCATATCTTAAAAGGGGGAATAAAACTGTCTTTCAGTGGAGCAGAATAATTTGATAGTGACACTCCATGCTTGGAAACTGTAAGATGCAATTTTACACTGCTTTGAGTACAAGTACCTTTTGAGCTGTCATGCAGAAATGGTTTCTCTACTTGAAAATGGGGTTTTCCTTTTATCTTTCAGGGATGTGTGCCTGTCACTCTCCATTGCCATCAATACATGGAACTGTGATTGTACTTGGGGCAGGAGACACTGCTTTTGACTGTGCAACATCTGCTTTACGCTGCGGAGCTCGTCGTGTGTTTGTGGTCTTCAGGAAGGGATTCACTAATATCAGGGCTGTCCCAGAAGAGGTAAAATTGAGTAACAGCATTTATAAGAAGACATATTGGTTGTTGGTCCTTGCGGGGCTTCCGGAGTGGGCGGCGGGTCTCAGGGGAGGCAGCGGGATGCAGGGTAAGCTACGGGACACCCCCCCACCACCCCACCCCCAGATACAGGGGATCACAAAGGATTCTATGAGGCCCTGAAAACAGCATACGGGCCTACATACCAAGTCCAAAGCCCACTTCTCAGTGCAGATGGTCAAACGCTTCTGACAGATAAAACCTCCATTCTGAATCGATGGTCTGAACACTTTCAGACTCTTTTCAGTACCAACCGCGTAGTCCAAGACTCAGCAATTCAGTCCATCACACAACAACCGGTGAAATACGAATTGGATACTGCCCCTACTTTAGGAGAAACCCTCAAGACCATACAGCAGGTGAAAATCGGCAAGGCAGCCGGGGTTGATGGAATTCCACCTGAAGTCTGGAAACATGGGGGCCTTGCACTCCATGCTAAATTCCATGAGTTTGTGGTGCGCTGTTGGGAACTAGGCGAACTACCGTCAGACCTTCGTGATGCAGTTATCATCACCTTATATAAGAAGAAAGGTACTAAATCAGATCAGACTGCTCAAATTACCGCGGTATTACTCTGCTCTCCATTGCTGGCAAAATCTTGGCAAGAATACTCCTGAACAGACTAATACCCGCTATAGCAGAAGGAATTCTACCTGAAAGTCAGTGTGGTTTCAGAGCCAACAGGAGCACCACAGACATGATATTTGTTCTCAGACAACTGCAAGAGAAGTGTAGGGAACAGAACAAAGGTCTCTATGTAACCTTTGTCGACCTCACCAAGGCTTTCGATACTGTGAGCAGAAAAGGTCTTTGGCAGATTTTGGACCGTTTAGGTTGTCCCCCCAAGTTCCTTAAAATGATCATCTCACTTCATGAGGATCAGCACGGCCAAGTCAGATATGGCAACACACTCTCTGAGCCCTTTCTAATAATGAATGGTGTGAAACAAGGCTGCGTTCTCGCTCCTTTTTCAGCATGATGCTCCAAAGGGCCACAGCAGACCTCGATGATCAGGACGGTATCTACATTCGATATCGTACTGATGGAAGCCTATTCAACCTAAGGCGACTGAAGGCCCACACTAAGACCCTAAACCATCTTGTCCGGGAGCTGCTCTATGCTGATGACGCTGCCCTTGTTGCACATACAGAAGCAGCCCTGCAACGTCTAACATCCTGCTTTGCAGATGCTGCTGAGCTCTTTGGGCTGGAAGTCAGCTTAAAGAAGACTGAAGTTCTCTATCAACCTGCACCTCAGGAAGTCCTACATCATCCCCACATCACCATCGGCCAGTCAGAACTCAAATCAGTCCAACAGTTTAATTACCTAGGCAGCCTCATCTCCTCAGATGGTAAGATTGACGGGGAGATAGACAATAGGTTAGCGAAGGCATATAGTGCTTTTGGAAAACTCCATAAAAGAGTCTGGCGTAATAAACACTGGAAGAAAAGTACCAAGATCAGTGTTTACAGAGCCATAGTGCTGTCTACTCTTTCATATGGTTCCGAAACATGGGTCATCTACCGCCACCCCCTGCGTCTCCTAGAACGCTTCCATCAATGCTGCCTCCGTACAATCCTGAACATCCACTGGTCAGATTATGTGACCAATACATCTGTTCTTGAACAGGCAGCAATCACAAGTATTGAGGCCATGCTACTGAGAACGCAACTGCGATGGGCAGGGCACGTCTCCAGGATGAAGGACCACCGCCTCCCTAAGATCCTGCTTTATGGTGAACTTGCCTCCGGCTGCTGCAAGAGAGGAGCTCCGAAGAAAAGATAGAAGGACTCCCTGAAGCAACATCTCAGCCTCGGGCATATTGATCACCATAACTGGTCTACTCTGGCCTCTAATCGGGAGGCCTGGAGACAGTCCATTTATAACGCTGCTGATGCTTTTGAGAAAGCACGTAGGATCACTCTTGAGGAGAAAAGACAACGCAGAAAGAATCGAGCCTTGGAGAATATACCATCTAAGGAGTCTTTCTGCTGTGTTTTTTGCAACCGGACTTGCCTTTCTCGTATTGGCCTTTTTAGCCACCAACGCGCTTGCAAGAAACGTGGGTAGAGCCCTTCCCAAATCTTCGTTCGCGAAGCCTAGCCATGATGATGATTGGTTGTTATTTCTGTGGGGCCTGAAAATGTGCTGTGGGTGCTTAAAAGGCATCTACTAAAGATTTTGTTCATGAAAGTGCTCTTAAAATGTATGAATATTAAAAATCTGATGCTCACTTTTTATACTCTCAATGTAAATAATTTTCCGTGGTTGTATCTTTTTCCTGTAAAGTCAGAGATGTATTTGCAAACAGGGGCTACAATTTCTTATAAATTAGAATATGCAGTAAAATTTTGAATCTTGGAATCAAACAGCCATTTGAGTATTGTGTGTGACTCTACAGGTCATGGTTAGATCCTGGAATGATACCTTTTGGCTGCTGTTTCTGATGTTGCCTTGTGAGCCTATAAAATCTTGTAAAAAATTACTTACAGTGATTTTGGCTTTGAATCACTGCCAACAGCAATGCAGCAATGTCATTCATCACAGATTTCAGCATTCAATTTGATTTTTAGTTTGGCTTTGCACTTTGGCATTTATCAGGTCATCAGCACATTTTGAAACTGACTCCGCTTTCTCAGTGTATCTGTACCCTGGGAGTTTTTATCAGATTAGATTTTTTTGTTTTGGTGGTCTTTTTCCATTTTCATTTATTTGGTACATTACTCTTTTACATAGTTGAGGATATTAGGATATCTAATGTATCTTTATCATGATATTTGTGGTAGTTTGGTCATCTATTTCAAGAAGGTGGGCACCTTAGATCTTACAGAAGGGGAATGGAGCTTCAAAGAAAGTGAGAGGGTCTCTTGGTGCATAAGTTACTTCTGTTGCACTTCAATTAAGAGTTCTAGACACAATGAGAGTCATTGCACAGACTCGTGTGCTATTCAGATTCTTTCTAAATCAGTTGTCGCTCTGAACCAAAATCTTTGATAGCAGCCTGGATAAATTCCTAAAAGTTGTCAATGTTTGTACGCATCCAATCATGCAAGGCCTTGAAAACAGTAAAATAAAAGTAGCTTCATCTAGTAATGGCCATACTAGAATCGTGTCAGGTTGGATATTACATGTTAAAAAAAGTTGTTGTGTAAACATAGACAATCAAATTTTGAAGACTTTGCTAAAATAAAATGCTGATTGACTTAAGCAGTTTTACCGTGGCAGAGATTCAGAAGATCTTGTCTGGATTGTCACTCAGAAAACTGTTGTTTGCACATGGTAGTCAGTATTTAATAAAATCTTAAAATCACAGTATAAACACAAATCATGGCATGTCCAAAGTAATACTAGGACTCTTCTTAAAAGAGTCTTATGCAACAGATAGTTGCATAAGTAACTCCTTTGCCCTCAAAGGAGTTAAATATATTCAAAGTAACAGAAAAATAAGAAAATATATTGGAGAAATATTTGCCTTGAAAATCTACCTAGTGCCAATGGTTGGTTTAATAGCATCGGAGGCTCTGAAGCCAATAATCAGATGACTGTCTGCCTACTGGAGGCAACTGACTTCTACTACAAAAGAATACATGGTAACATCTTGAGTCAAAAAATGTCTGGGTGGTTTGTTTGGTTTTTTAATGAAAGCACAGCATAGTTAAAGTATATGTTTTATTGCTTCTGCTCTACAGATGGAACTTGCAAAAGAAGAGAAATGTGAATTTCTGCCTTTCCTCTCCCCTCGGAAAGTTGTTCTTAAAGGTGGACAAATTGTTGCTATGGAATTTGTTCGAACTGAACAAGACAGTGATGGTAATTGGAAAGAAGATGAGGATCAGGTTGTCCGTCTGAAAGCTGATGTGGTGATCAGTGCCTTTGGCTCCATTTTAAGTGACAATAAAGGTAGCCCTGACTAATGCATTCTGCTAATGCTGATTGTTAGTTTAGCTGCAGCCATTTCCTGTGCTTTGACAGTTCTGTGAAATGGGTCTTGAAGAGGTTACACAGCTTCTGACTGCTGGTCCTCTTCGCAGGAATTTCTTTGTCCTTTAGGTATACATCTTAGAAAAAAATTTGACAGTCTGGTAACAAAGCAATTTTCTGTATGTTGCTGTATAGAGCTGGAACTCAGAGTAGAGGTACAGTTGCTCAGTATGTGTATTTCTTTTTTCTCAGTGCCAGTGGGATCTCAAAGAATACTATTGGGAATTTCTTCTGGTCTCACTAATTAACTTTAGAGAAACTCATTATATTACAACTTTAAGCTGAACTGATCTGATCTCGTAAACTTTTTTTTTAACCTATCAAAGTAAGCTGGAATTAAGACATTAATTATTCTGGTTCAGCTGGTCTGGGTATTACTCATTACTTGCGCATATACTGTGTGTGGCTTCTCTCATATACAGTATTTCCTAGTTGCACTTCACAAGCTTTAGTCTTAAAAATTAAAAATTACGTAATTCTATATTAAAGATACAGAAATTGTCACATTGATGACATTTCAGAGATTGAATGAATTGTCTGCATATAGCAGAGAGATGAAGAATATGAGTAGAGCTAAGAACATGGGAACTGAGCAGAGCTCAGACCATTCTCTTCTGACACTAGGTTAGACTTAAAGAGTTCAGACACATACAAGAAACATGCCTCAAAAGTTAAAAACTTTGATGCAGCAGAAGACACATTGAAATGAATACATCTTCAGCCTAGAGGTGCTCATCTAGGTTAGCAGGTTCTGAAGGCCTTAGTGATCCATGTGCCTACCTCTCCAGTGCATGGTCATGCCAACCAATTAGCCTGTAACATGTTGTCAGGGTCCTTTGGGTATAAATGCTCTGACAGAGGACTTGCAAGTACCTCAGATTGTACAGGACCATAAAACTTCTTCGCATAATGTGGTTTTGTGAATCTTTTTAATCAAGGAAAATGGTAAATCTAAAATATTCTAAGCAGGGTCTGACTCTGGATGGTGTACTCAGTGCTTCCTGTTCTCCAGCCCGATTGTATACAATGGTAAACCATCGTGCAGTCATGAGAAGGGTCTAAACTCTCTCCTTCAGTAAAAAGGATAAACCTGGTCCTTTGAGAAACTTGTGAATTCCAAGAGCAGTCCTGTCTCTTGTGTGTTACTGTTGCTTTGGGATGGTTTCTTGCAGCCTAGGCTGTTACCTAGACAGGAACTGCACCCAGCTACGTATGGTGATAATTACTCAGGGCTGCCTTCTGCCCTGCAGCTGCCTCCTGCTCTGAAGGGCACATGAGATGCAGTCTGTGTCTCTTTGAAAGAGCACACTCCCATTCCACTTGGAGCCATATTGCTGTATAGCAATTCTGGCATCTGTGTGGGTCATGTTTTTGGGCTCAGTCAAACCTCCAGGAAGCAGGGAGAAGAAGATTAGGATTTTTTCTTTTTTTTTTTTTTTTGAAATCTTAAAAAGATTTGTTAACTACTCTGACAATGGAGTTGATTGACTGAGAATTTTGGAAAATTTTGTTGATGTTGTTTTTAAAAACCCTATGTTTAGGTTTTTTGTAAGGTTTTCTAGAACCTCATGTGGTAAATTAGTATTAGCCTATGCAGTCAGTATACTTTGTTGTGATTCATAGACCCTATGATAGAGGAGTGATTCTATTTTCTCCCACATTAAAAATTGCTTCAGTTAAAAGGTTGAACCAACTGTGTTGCTTAGCCATAATACTGTGCTAGTCTTGTGTTTCCTAGTATGTATTCACTGTCAAAATTAGTTGTTGTGAGGTTTTTAAATAGGAATATAAAATGGAATGGAAACAAAGTCATGCAGTGAGTTGATCATGAAAGAAGAGTCATTTACCTTGGGCGTAGCAAAACCTCAGTTTCACACTGTATTTTGGGTGAAACTGCTGTTAGAATAGCAATCAAATTAAAAGGCAAAATGCAGGTTTTGGATGTTGTGAAAGTGAAAAGAAACTAAGACTTAAGTGTATAAAATGTTTATTTTGAGCATACCATTTCAGGTGCTTAAATCTTTGGTTTTTGTTTAAACCTGTCTTAATGAAAGTCAAATTTGCTTTTCACCACTGAGCTGGATTACAACCAAAACTCCAAGCTACCTCAATATACATAGCAAAAAGAAATGAAAAAAAAAAACAAAAACAAAACAACAAACAAAACAAACAAACAAAAACCCAAATCAAAACAACCCCTCCCAAAATGCAAAGCAAAACAAAACTAAAAAAACAACAACCCCCCCCCAAAAACTAAAAAACTCAACACTGAAATCATCTTATCTTCTTAGTGTTTTGTTGTGAGTGGGGTTTTTTTTTTGAATGGTTTGTTTTGTGAAGGGTTTTTTTTATGGAAGCACATTTTTGTAGTCAAGAGATGGAAATATTCAGGCATTCTACATCAAAAGATGGAGATGAAAATACTAGAGGTACTCAAAACTGGACAATGCCATGAGCAAGCTGATCTGACTAGGAACTTGATCTAACTTTTGAAGAAGGGAATGGACTAGGCAACCTCCAGAGGGCCCTTCCAATCTCAATTGTTCTGTGACTGGATGACTCAGATGCAGGTGAATAAATGTGTTAATTGCTGCTCATACAAAGAGCTCTATCAATTGACCTGATTCATAACGTACATCAGGGAACTGCAAATACAGTATTGTTATGGGCTAAAGTAGGAGGTTATGTCCTATTAATATTGTCAAATGCTGATTCTACTGATGCAAAAATAGAGGGATTAAAATCAAACTTAATCCCAATTGATCAAAGTGTTTGGGGCAGCCTTCATGCTCATGTTTGAAAGTTTTATAAGGAGCCATAGGCATGTGGGAGACTGATGTTCTGAGCAAAAATAGCTCATAGGTTAGAAAGTTTTTTCTAGTCTATTATCCTCAACAAGGTGTTTCTTATTCTTGCATGGTAACTATTAAATTTGCAACTGAGATACCATACATTCACAGTAGGTATTTAGTCTTTTTTCATTTGTTGAGATAAAATGCTGATTGTGGTTTTAAGCAACAGTTCTAGTGGGTATTCAGCCTCTTATTGGGAATCATATAAATGCATCATTAGTTTAAAAAAATGGACTCCTAAATCCATTTTATGCTTGTGAATTTGCTAATAGACAAAACAGGAGAGTTGCCTTCTAGACTGTTTTAAGAAAATTACCACTTTACTGAATAAAAAAAATCCCAACAAATTGTTCAAATCAAACTGCTGCAGATGGAGTAAGAAAAATGTTTTGCTTCTTCTTAAAAAAACCTACCAGATTTTGCAAGCACAAGATGCTTTTCTTTTCACTGCATTGCTTACCAAAACCTTCGAGCCATTGTAACTGACCCACATAAACAAAGAGCTGTGAGAGAAATTTTGTACTTTTCCTCGTGTTCCTGCTTTTTTGCTTAGTTTGTTATTTTGGAGACTTGTAACATATTAGTGAATTACTGAAATACCTTCTGTCCCTGTTCCAAATTGCAAGTACGCAACATACACAAATATAATTCTGTGTGCTCCATAGCACTGCATGCAGCCTCAACATCCTACTTACCACCAATCCAGTTGGTTTTAAAGTCTGAACTTTGAATAACCCTCTTCTTGTATATTTTGTTCTGGTAAGCAAAGGAAACAATATTTTTGGACTGCAAAATTTTGCATTAGAACAAATGTCCTTGTTCTGATTTATTTTCATGAATTTCTGAGGAGAACCATGGAGAAATTATGGAAAATAGTACACTTGTTCAAAATGCACTGCAAATGCAGTGCAGAAAAGGGACTGAGACAGAATAGGGAACTGGCAATGTAAGCTTAGTTCAACACAGTTTAGCAGGCAGAAGTAAAGAGGAAGTATTCCATGTACCAGAACACTGAATCTTAGCATGATAATGTCTGTTTTATTTTCCTGGAGAGGCAAAAAAGAGAAATGCAAAAATATCCAAGCAAACTCCAAATACCACCTTTCTAAAAAAAACCCAGAAATTGTAAGTTATTTGTGAGCCAAAATATGTTTTATGAAAAATTTGGTAGTAGCTGACTATTGCATCGTGACTGAAGAACAAAATTTTATTTTGCAATTCTGGGAATCAGTCACAACTTTCAGATATTTTGCTTTTACTTTTAGTACAACTGTCATCTTGCTTGGAAACTGCAGCAGCAAATCCCAGAAGGCTCCCCTGGAATAGTTCAACATACAGCAAGGATAACTTTTCCCAAGTTGTTTACAATTTTATTATTTAACCCACTTATACCTAATATTTATTTCTACAGCTTGAGAAGCATTTGCTAGAGAAAAAGGGAAAATGTTTGCAGAGCTCTGACCTCATAAGTGAAAAAGATTTTAGTTTTCCTTTGAAAATGGCACAGAAGCCAGAGGTTCCAGAACCTGGAAGGCGTGTTGAGTTTCTTCATACAGCCTGCTCACAACTAGCTAACTTCAACCTCAAAGTGCTGAAGCCTTGACTATCTAATGAAAGAGTAGGGGGGAGGAAGAGAGGCTGTGATACCTCAGCTGGGAATGCCCATGGGGGTGACCTGGCATCTCCCTGGTAGCACAGCATCTGCCTTCCACCAACAGAATAGGCTTTTAGTCACTAGACTTGTAAAAAATTGTTATATAAAACTGCAACTTATATGGATTCAAAAGATTCCTATTGAAATAGATAGGAGTCTTCCTGCTGAGTCATTTGGAACAGGATTTTTCTCCACAAGTAGGTTTACTGAATGAGTTTGAGTGCAGCAGTTCCACACTCTGAAATGATTACCAATTTCCAATATCCAAAAGTGGCTTCATGATGACTTCTAAAGCCCTGCTAACTTAGAGCACACATCCTGCTCTTTCGGCTGATAGACATCAGTACCCATTTGCTTGCTGGTGACAGGCAGAAAACAGTCAGTACCAGCTTGCAGCAGGATCCTCTCCAGCATAAGTGGACCCAGCTTTATTCAGTCAAACCACTTCTTAATCCTGATTCAGTACAGTAGTGGGATAGAGAATGTGGGAAGCATGATTGTGACTTTCTTTATTTGCTGGGCATTTAGGCTGGGCAGTGTCAGCAGTTAGTCTGTTGGTGCATGTGACAGCTGTAGTTATACATTTTAGATTAAGGAAGTTACAGTATATTTGTATTTTTCTGAAGTAATGCTACTATTCACTTTAAAGGAATTCTGTAAGATGGATATCAAAAATAACATTAATGAGCTACTAAAGCTAAAATTACAGGAACTTATGAAATTGGTTAAACATAAAAACCATTAAACTGTTTATTGAAGCTTCACAGATATACTGCAGCTAATGAGCATTTCTGCTATTTAAATAAGCCCAAATTGAACACACATTACATGGATGCATAATTAGTCATGGCAGTCAAACACACAGACTCACTTTTAAAGCTTTATTTGAGGAATCTTTTCCATTTGATTTGTTTTGTTAATTAAAATATTTTTTCTGTATTCACTTATATTTTAATATTGTTTTTGCAAATGCTATAATTTGCTGCCGCGTTTCCATTTGTGTTTGTTTGCTCTGTGAATATAACAAATTTGGAATATATATTCAGCACTATCCTTTTGTTTGGTGTTATTTGTGTTAGCATCACTTGATAGCACTAGAGTAATTAAATTGTATGTTGTCTTTCATCCAGAAGGATCTTTTCAAATGATATATAATGCCTCACCAGGCCATAGAGGAGAGGAATGCACAAACAGGAGACTGTAGTTTGAATTTTCAAGACAAAAGCTATGTTAGTTTCAAATTTTGAAGGCTGTGAGGGTGTAGGGTTTTAAAAGATGCTCTTTACCCCATCCCAAATCATGCACCAACAAAAACATTGGTTGTCTAGTTTGTTATTGTTCAGTGTCAATTACCAGTGCAGAGAAACTCAAGCTCAGGTTTGGCTCTTGGCTCTTAGACTCTCTCTCTCACCCCTCACAGGGGCAAGGAAGGGACTTCCCTCTGTGAAGAACACAGTTTTCCCCTTCTTTCTGCAGGTGGTGTAGGAGGTGGTCCCTTCAGCCTCACAGTTGCGCTAGGTACCAGATCCAAATTGTGAGGATATTAGGAAATCTCATACAAAATGCTTTTAAACCATGCCCTTCTTTTTACATAACCTAAATCTTGGAGATTATAAAAATGACAGAAAGAAATAGCTGCTGCATATCATGTCAGCCTTGCCACCAGGGAAATATTCTTTCCCAGTCTTAAAAATACTGATCAGGCAGACAAATCCTCAGGCCCTGGAGAAATGTTTCAGGTGAAGATGTGTTGGGCATTCTCTGCACTCAAAAAGCTTTTGGTATAATTATGTCCAGACGGCCATTTTAGCAAAAAGCAATTCAAAAAAGATTTGAGAAATGTAATAGATCCAGGATAACAGAAGTAATACCCTATTTTTCCACAAGATGAAATAGGTAGTCAGAACTTCCAGTTTTACATCATTTCTTCTGAAAAACTACCTCTTCAACAGCATGTTGTCCTCTAACACCTTTACTGTGGTTCAGTCCTGTCTCAGAGAAGAAGTCATCTATTAAATCCCCACTACCAAATCCTGCAGTACCAAGTTTTCCTCTGTGTTTTTTTCCAAACATGTCTTTACAAGCCTGTAGAATTTAGCTTGTGAGAACTGTCTAGACCACATGCTGAGATGGTACCACTGCATGCAATATGTTATCCCATATATGACAAATATAAGATGATCAAAAGCTGTCTTAAAGCATTGACAGTCTGAGACACAAAGAGAAAGTTAATGTTTTGATTTATAAATATTACTGAAGCATTTTAATAAAACTACTATCAGCCATTATCCACTCTTTCAATTTAAAAGAAAAAAAATACAAGCCCCTAAACAAACCAAACACCTTTTTTTCCAGACTGAAAAATACCTCGATCTCAAGGTAGTGTTTCATTTGAATTTTCAGTAATTTAAACATTTTTGCAGGAAACAATTTCTTAAGTTTTTGGTGGGAGAGATCGTGTGAGCAATAGGTCTTGCAGATAGATTAAATACCTGTGCTAGGACACCTGCTACAGTCTTTCAGCTTGAAACTGTCTTCTGTGACTCTGGCTTCTGAATAAGTTGCAAAAAATTACTTTGAATTGAAGTCCTCCAGGTATATGTTTGTAAATGTCAAGGGTGAGGAGCAGAACATAGGAGGGACAAATAGGTGACAATGTTTGTGCCTTGCTTCCTGTTTAATTATTTTGCCCCAGATTATGCACAGCCCCCACTTTGGAATAGACTTCTAATGTTTGATTTGAAGGTTCAGGGAGATACAGAGCCTTGGAAGAAAATCTCAGCACTACGATGTGCAAGAAAGATGTGTTTGTAGCTTGCTGTATACTGAGGTGTGCGCTGGGACAATACTGTGACTACCCTTTGTACTGGAGAAATATTTGTGTCTTAAACTGGCAGGTTTCTCTTTTACATATATGACATTGCAACTGCATCAGTTTAATTGACCTTAGCAATATGCATCTGCCAGTGGTATGTCCCTGAGGGACATTGCAATTTTAAGCTGCATTTTATTGCAGAATCTTCAGTGCTTGTAGACAAACCTATATAACTTCCCCTATTTTGATATATGCCATCAACATTTGCTAAAAATACTTATTGAAAACATGATTCTCTTAATTAAGCTACTTTGAAGGGCTTTGTGATTATAATAATTTTAAAATGTTAATATAGAGCAAGTAGTATATTTTTTCTGAGCATTTATGTGTATTTATTGACATTTATATGCCATGCAGTATAAATTTTTTTTTATTTTCACATCTACATTATTTTAAAGGACGATAATATTTCATGTGCAGAATGCCTGATATGCTGTTCACTAACAGCATGAAAAATATTAAGATCTCTTAATGCATGCTCTAAAAAAAAATCAGAAATTGCAGTGAAAAAGATACAAAATATATTGTCTTCATGTAAACATTTAATTTTGATTGTATTTTATGATTTTATTCTTAATATGCAAAACAAGTTTTGAAGTGAGCCTTTCTTCCAGGATTTTCTGAGTTTAAATGTTTTCAGGATGGTTTTGACTTTATTGAAATATGTGTTTTTTCAGAATTACATTTTCTAATTGTTATCAGTGTATATTTGACAGATTTTAGCAACAGTTTTTTCTTTCTTCCATTAACATATTTGTCGTTCACTTTAATTACAGTCAGAGAGGCCATGGCACCTATCAAGTTTAACAGATGGGGTCTTCCTGAAGTAGATCCAGAAACCATGCAAACAAGTGAACCCTGGGTTTTTGCAGGAGGTGACATTGGTGGTCTTGCTAACACTACAGTGGAATCAGTAAATGATGGAAAACAAGCTTCCTGGTACATACACAGATACATACAGGTGATTTTTTTCAGAAGTATTTTTCTCTTTCCCGTTTCTATCTGCTTTTAGATACTTTTAAAAATAATTTCATTGTGGGTTTGATTAAATATACAAGTTTGGAGAAACTAATGCCTAGATGATCTGGTGATTAGAACATTACAGATTCATTCAGCTTGGATCACATGCTTGAGTTTGGGTAGATGAACCCAGCTTTCTCACATTATCTTAACACTAAAATCCAAGAAACATTTTCTTGGCCCCAGGTCTGAATTCCACTCAAGGGTAGCAAGCCTCCCTACACAATAGACACTGCAAGTAGAAATCCTAATTGGGTAACTGGGGAAAAGTAGTGAGCCCATAAGTATTAAGAAGCAAGATCTTCCAATAGTGCATAAAGAAAAAACTAAATACTGCCAATGTTATTTCCTGGGAAAGACCTTTTTAGTTTACTAACAGTTTACAAAACAGATTATCTACACTGGAACCAAAGTTTACTCTGATGAAACTGATAAAATGGATACAAATGCTTGATAAAAACTAAACACTGAATGCACTGAGGAAATAACGCAAAGGAGAATTTACCTGAGAAATATGAGTTTAAGAGGTGCAGACTTGAAAAACCTGGTAACCACACGTTTCCTTTTGGTTCTCCTTGCATGTTGCTGACTGAGCACCTCTGCCCTAATTTTTCTAGTAAAAGTCTAGAGGAGCTGCAGAGAATCTTCTGAGATAGAAACACAGCCTGTATGTGGAGAACCAGTTGACAAAATGTGTGTTCATAGTGCAGGGAACTTTTTAGAAACATGGTACGTGATTCATTCTCCCACATAAAGAGATTTGAACAACTGAAGTTGGGACTGTAACAGCTCAATGTCTTTCTCCCCCATCCATCTGCTCAAAGCCTCTCTGATTGCATGTTTGTGCAATTTCATGCTGTTGGGGTCTGATTTCACTTCCTAAAAATACTTCAACTGAAAGCTTGTTGTTAGTATCTGTGCATATTTTTTCTCACTTGTTCTAAAGCACTGTTTGTGTCCTGCCTTCTTAGACCCTATGAAAATGCTGAGTGTGAAACATCTTTAGTCCCTGATCTGCTTACTTAATTTCCCAGTGCACAGTGAATTTGGGTAACCATGATAGGGGGAGAGAGTGTGTCTCCTCCTTTTTGTCTCCTTACTCAACCTCTAGAAATACAGGCATCACTTAAAATCCTCTGTTATAACTTTGCTTCCTCCTCAAAGTTTGGGTTTCTTCCTCCCCTCTGGAATGTATTTAATACTTCGGAAAAAATCTGAATAGTCATGGCTTGAGAATTAGAATTTTAAATCAAGTAGACTTGTGATGTTAGAGCATTTCCGTTACCCTTTGCAGGTTTCAAGGCAGCTTATTCAACCTTACAGTCTCACCAGGAAGCTAATGGGAAAGCCTTACAGCAATCTTCACAGGAAAGTTTCCAAATGTCAAGTGTCACCTTTCCAGCTGTTAGATGAATGGGTTGCCCAAGGGCATTTATTTGGATGTGCAGCCCTTGTAAAATCTGGTTGCCGTGGTGCAGAATGCTGTAATTTGGCAATTTATTTCACCAGTGTTTGGACCTGGTAGAAATTTTAGTGACTGGAGGGGAGTTTGTTTTTTAAAGAAATTGTTTAGAGAAGGATAAAAGAAGGATTGTATTACCCTGATGTTTGTTGGGGTAGGTACATGCCATCTGTGTGTGCCTTTATGTGCTCATGTGTGCACACATTCAGTTCTCAGCTCTGTATTCTGGAAACTTCTGAAAGGAAATCAAAAAATAGCCTTACACACTACCTTATTTTCTCTCTATTGTGAGATTCTAAGATAGGCAACTGTCCTGTGATCTTAGTGTCTGAATAGAGTACACATTAGATTTTAAATGAATGCATTGATACCATCTATATCTCAGTTACAGGAATAGGTAGCCATTTCCAAAATCACCAACTATCTCAGCACCAGGATCTATAAATAATGCAGTCTTCATCAAAATAAAACTATTCCATAGGATTTCTCAGCCAATCCAAGACCATGACAAAGACTGAAACTCAAAACCACGATCCTGACTACTTGCAGAAAGCACTGTTTGAACAGCACGCTGCTTGTATCCCAACCTACTCCAGGCAAAAGGCTAAGTGAACAGATGGGCCTGATATGTGCCCTGAAACTCCAGTCATTGCAAGCTCTGGCACGTGGTCAAGTGAAGCGTGAGATCCAGACTCAAGGACTCTCCAGCAGAAATGCCTTATGTTCAAAACTGGGAGTTATTTACAGAAGCTTCTTGGCTGCTCTTATGCTGGAAACTTTCCATCATTAGTTGCCTAAATATCTCCTGCCTCTTAACATATTCCTCCCACTATATGAGCCATAGGTTCATCTCAGAAATTGTTGACTGCAGCTGTGTCAGGTTAGTTTCTACAAACATGACCGGTCAAAGCCTAACCAAGGATAGTTGTAGTAGAACCTGTTATAAAATGTATACAGTCTTCCTAGAACCATTCTTTGCAAGTCATTAGAGATCGAAACAGAATCAGCCCAGTTCATTTAACTGTCTACTACTCACAACATTTTTGCATGGTTCAACCTTCTTTTGTTATTCCATGAATTATTCTTAGTGATTTATTTGGTTTGGGAATTGTAATGGCCTTCACTTTTGTCCGACAGTGACTTTATGATCTTGTGCAGAAGCAATATAGGCTGCTGTTCTCTTCTATGCCTCGGTTACCATCCATTTCTTTTTGATCAGTGAATGAGATTTAATAGTATAACAGTTGCATTCAGGGTAGTTCACGATTATTGCAGGACTAATTTCTAATTTTCTGTGCCTGTCTTGAGAGTGAAGACAGCTTCTAGTATTTTCTTCCTGGATGACTGTGCCAGTCTTAATGCTTCACTCCTGCTGTATTCATACACTTACCTGTGGAGTGTTTTCCCATATATGGCAGTAAAACTGCCATCTTCTCACTAAAACCCCACTTTAAAAGTGACTTTTCTGTTCTAGTTCACAAAAAGTGAACTATTCCTTGAGCATGCATGAATGTACATTATTTCATAATCAATACCAGAGTTAGGTGGTTCCCAGGAAGCTTATATTTGAAGCTGTTAGTTATGTTGTCTGTTTCTTTTCAGGACAACCACAGGACAAAAATGAACATCCCTTTGTTTAGCTAGAACAACATACAAAACACTAGCATGCAGACAAGAAACAAAGTACCATTTGCAAAAAAAAATTGGATTAAAGGCAAGTGCAGGAAACCTAGTATTTTAGTTGCTTGCCTCTGAGTAAGCAATATGTCTGTTACAGAAACAGAAAGGCAGGAATGAGCTTAGAAAATCTTTGTCAAACAGGACAGAGCCCAGAGCAACCTGGTCTAGTTGACCCTGCTTTAAGCAAGGGTGTTGGACTAGATTGTCCTCAGGCATCCCTTCCTACCACAACCATTCAGAGATTGTACGAAGTAACATAGACACATTACCACAAAGTTAAATAATTGGAGAGAGGCTAGAAGAAGAAAGGGAGAAAAGACATGTTTTAAGATCAGACTTAAAAACAGAGAAAGCAGGAGTAAGATGAAAGTATTCAGGAAAACTCTTCCAGGCAGTAGGATTTGAGGAGAAGACTCTCTGTGAAAAATAACAGTAATACAACTACTTGCTTTCACAGTCTGTCTTTGTTAAAGTCTGGGAAATGGAGTTAGACCATAGCATTCTGGTTAAAAATTTTCTCCATCTAAAGGAAATTAATGTCAAAAATTGTATCAGGTCTACAGCTGAGTTCCTGTCTCTCAGCTCTGCACTGCAGACCATGTGCATTTGCCTCTAGGCGAATCCTGGGTAGGGTAGGGTAGGGCTACTGTTTGCAACATGCTGTGGATTTTTCACCACCCTGTTCCAGTATCCAAGAAATTGCCATGATTGGAACAAGTACCTGCAATGTTGTTAGCTCAGCTGGTTGGCATCAAATTAGAGGAAGAATAGGCCACACTTTTTGTCCTCTACTTCTAAAAATCAAGGGAAGAGTTATTATAAATAAACCCTTGCCTGCAGGCTTTCTTTTCCTATTTGTTTGTGCAATGTCAGAGAAATCCTTCATTATAGAGATGATTTTACTTTCAGGAAGCTATATAACATTTTAGCTAGCTGAAAGTTTTGCTTTGTAGAAAACAATGCATCAAGGCTTAGTAAATTTATTTCTTTTATAAGCATTGTGCTGAAAGGAAAAAGCAGCAAAAAATAAATAGAGCAAAAATGAAGTGATAGGAAGGAGGGAAATAAATCTGAAAAGATGTATTGCCACTGGCTACTGAACCTTCAGCTGTATCCTGCCCCTGTGCATTTTTAAATACTTGGTTTATTCCATTGAAACATCTTGTAATCCTCCCCCTGCCACCTCCACCTGGGTCACTTCATCATTAACAAACATTAGGCACATTTTGTGGGACCTGGGTGGAATTGTTTGTGGTTTTGCTCTTTTGAAGGAAAGTAAAGCAGGAAAAATGGGCCTCTACATATAGTTTGGGAAGTGGCTTATGACTAGTTTGAATGATGGAATGCAGGAGGCAAGGCCTATTTTCGCATAGGTGTTGGTGAGAACAACTTTTAGAGATATAATTGTCCTGCTTAGGAAAAGAAACAGTACAAGGGAACTGAAGCTGCATATTCAGCACTGTCTCTCTATCTGTCTGTAGCAATCAATATTTACAGTTGTACAAGCTATGAATAGTTTATAAGCAATCCACAGGCTGAAATGTATTCACAGAGAACATTTGAACAATTATGGATAGCAAATGAATTCACACTGGAAAATTAGGTTTATTGCTCACATGTGTGCATAGAGTGGAGCTGACCAAACACTTTTCCTTCAGTCTTTCTTTATTGTCATTCTTACAGAATCAGAATCAAAGAATTTTTTTAAGAGTTTGGTGTATCAATGTTTATTTCAGCAGATTTCCCCATACATTAAACTATGTAGGAGACAAAAAATGCTCTAATTTCAGCTGTGTGATCCAGGAAGTTGTTTTGTCACTGCAAACAACATTTTGCAGTTGGAATATTAGTTTAGAAAATAAAAAAAAAAAAGTTAAAAATATAAAATCAAACCCAAAGTAATAAAAAAATACTTTTTGATTCCTTGTTTTTTCTGCTTTTATTTGTCATTTAACAAAAGCTTTCGAGACGTAGAATGCCAGGCTATTTGGTTTTCTAAGAACTTAGATTCTCCTGGTGTAAAAAAGTAACCCTGTGGAGTGTGACATGGAGGAATCAGTGAGCACATAGGAGGAAAGCAATGGGGGATGTTTGGCTTTTTATGAAGTGTAACTGCATTGGCTGCTAGCTGAAAGAGATCATGACACCGAACTGAGTTTTGTCCCAAATGTTAGGGATCTTTAAAAATTAATATTTCTCAAAATGTCCACCATTAGGGACCCATTCAGGTTTGCATCATTCAGGCTGGGACAATTCCACTACTTTCAGAGCTTTTAAGCCATCAGAAAATTTGGCCCCCGAATGTACCCTCTCTGTCTGAGGAATCAGAATACTGAGAGGTGAATGCAGGCAATCCCAAAACCAGACAGGCACGTGAAGTCTCAGGATTTTGAGCAGTCTAGGAAGCAAAAGGCACAAAACCAAACAAAAAACTCCTCATTTTGTCAGTGCTTATTAATTTTCACAGGTAAAAATGGGTTAAGTAAGTTTCTTAAAAAAAAAAAAAACAAAAACAAAATCCCCAAAGGTAGCAATTTGTAAGTGGCTGAGGTTTTACTCTGTTACAGAAGAGTCTTCCCCGCACCTCGAGTAGTCCTGCTGAAGAAATCTTCCTTTTAAGGATAGAAGAAACTGCTGTGATCTTAGCTGTGACTTATTAGGAACACAGATGGTGTAGGGCTTCTCTGTGTTGGAAATTCCTGCTTTATTTCTTTGTGATTTTATTGAGTCAACCATCTGAGTGAGCAAAGATTTAAATTCTACCCACCACATTGTGATTAGGATGCTGTTCAGTATCCATACATGGAGAAAGATTTTCTCTCTGCAGTTTTTATGCTATTAAATGCAACATATACATTGAAAGCTTTTCACTGACTCTACAGGGAAAAGACTATCTTTAAAATTAAAACAAAAGTGACTGCGGTGGCACAGCCTTAATGTGTATGATGTTCTTTGATCCCAAATCAGAGTCTTAACTTTTGTCAATCTTGAAGTATTCATATTAATGCAATTAAGTATAAACCCAGTGATAGTTTTGCATACATTGATAGGTATACTGATGTGTAGGCTATAGAAAATCTTTAAAATTGGGGGAAAAAGGTGCAGAGATTCAAAATACATTGAGTTAGGGCTGAGTGATCCTCCACATGATGCCTTCCCTCATTTTTCACAATTCCCTACACTTCAGATTGGCACCTGGGAAGAAAACTAGAAAGAATCTGTTGGCATACCTTGAGTTTTTTTTCAGTCTCACTGCTTCTGGCTGCTGTAGGGAACAGAACTGGCTGTTCAGAAGGGTTGAACAAACCTTTGGACTGAACCAGGCTATCAGTACAGGATATAAAATAACTGTTTCTTTAGATGTAAAATAACTGTTCCATCATTATCATTATTATTACTGTTATTCAGTTATTTCCAGCATAGCATAGTATTTCAGCATGAATACTATTTGGGCAGAAGATGTTGCATATGCAAGTGTTTGCATGTTTTACTGATTTGCAGGTCTGAACACATAATAAAATACCTAAACTTTGGGTTATTATATATTAATTATTCTCTTATCAGTGTTAATAATAAATTATATAAAAATTAATTGGCAAAAAATTCTGTGATTTTTGTTTGGGTTTTTTTACAGTCCTTATATGGTGTTGCAGTTTCTACGGTTCCAGAACTACCACTCTTCTATACTCCTATAGATTTAGTAGATATCAGTGTAGAAATGGCTGGACTGAAGTTTCCAAATCCTTTTGGCCTCGCCAGTGCAACTCCTGCTACAAGTTCTTCAATGATTCGAAGAGCATTTGAAGCTGGGTGGGGCTTTGCTGTCACTAAAACATTCTCCTTGGATAAGGTAAGAAAATATTTTGAGGTATATTTTATGTGTAACCATTTCTTTATTTGTTTGAAAAATCTGAGTCTTTTGGGAATGACACTATTGAATCCAGCTAGCATAAAGATAGCAGGGACGGGTATGATACATTACGTAGTTTGACTGGTCTGAGAGGTTTCACCAGTACAGTGACACAATTTCTGGTTTTGTTTGTTGTTACATCCTTCCCCTTTATTCCCCACCTTTTAAACTTAGCCACCTATTAAGTGTAAGAATCCTTTTTTTTTAAATATTGCAGTGAAAGTGTTTTCTGTAAACAATCAGAATGCAAAGGGAATGAGTAACAGCTTTGTCACACAACTCATGAAAGGCGGATTCTGTGCCAGGGGCTGCCGAGATAAGCCATTGAAATTGAGTTGCAGCTGCAGTATGATAATGTGGCTGCAAGGCGGAGCTGGGTGGGTAATGGAAGAGAAAGATGGAGGCAACATAAAAGAAGCTTATAGAGATGAACAGTTGTGCTGAAGGTTTGTAGCACAGTGACATTGACCTTCAGTAATATAATGGACGATGAAGGAGTTAGCATTAAGTCTTGAAGGTTATGGCTCAGTGTGGCACCTTAAATAAAAGTGTAGATTTAAGCATGTAATTGTTTGACCTGAGAATTGCATTCACGATGGGTTTCTTGTTGCTATATTCAAAATGGCAAAATGAGAGTGAGCAAGAAGTTTAGACAGTGGAAGAAAATAACAGCTTTGATAAACAGATTGCAGAGAAAAGAAAGAGATTTTGGGCTGGGATGTAGATATAGTTGGACTTGTAGAGAAAAGAAGAAGACCAAAGGTAAATCCTTAGATATAGGCCTGAGTAACTGTGAATAATTGCAACGTATTGTCATCCAGTGACAGACAGTAGTGAGGGCTGGAGAAAGCTCTTGAGACTAATTTAGAAACAAGGGTCTTTTATTATTGGTTCAGTGATGGATGGAGACCTTAGCAGAAGAGAAAAGGTAGATTTGCTCCTCTGCCACCTGTACATGGGTAAGTACCACAGGTGAATTAACTATAGTGAGTGGCCCTCTAATATGAGGAAGGTCTAAGGGCAAAGTGCTGTGTTGCCACAGCGTACTGTAAAATATGTCAGGCTGGCTTCTGCTGTCACTTACACCTGAAGTAGCCTTAAGGAAGTAGATGTCCCTCTAGATTGCAGTTGAGATTCCAATCTACTTCATGGGGCTTCTTATTAAAATACTTTTTAGGACATAAATGTCATTCAAATATGTTTACAACTGACTTACATGTATAACATACTGTCAGCTGTAATTATTCAGTGCCTGGGCTACAGGCAACCCATAGCAAGTACTGAGATTTATTTATTTATCAGTATTATTGCTGGTATGCTTGCAGTCCTGCCAGACTGCATGTTGATTACTGTGCAACTCAAGAGCTAAACAGACGCAGGCTGAGTTCCAGCTTGGGTGGGAGTTCAGGAGGAAAGATGTGCTTGTTGTAGGAAGTGATACTGGTGCTCCACTAAGCAGCAGACTCTGAGTCATTTCTCAAATGGTGACTGCAAAGTGTTCCACTGTATGCCATGCTCTGGAGGTGTGACTCAGACAGAGATATTTCAAGGGTTTTTTTAGTATTTGTTGCAATAAGATGCAAAATATTGCTGATATGACTTGTTTTTTAAGTTAATAAGTCAGAAAAGTTGGATGAATTCTAGTTCAGTGATTGTTATTTCTAGCTAAGCTTCCTTCTGATGTTCAGTAGGAGGCAGTACTCTTTCTCTGTGCCTAAACTCTTGAATCGTGTGTTGCTCTGTGTAGTAGGACTGTGTCCCATCCAAGTACTACTTAGTTTTTCCACTGTTGTATTCTTCCTAGTAGTGTACTTCCCATGGGTGTTAAGCCTTAGTATTTTTGACATGATTTGAGATGCTTGGCTGAGAGGTGCTGCAGAAAGAAAATTGCTTTTATTTATCATAGTTATATGGCAATTAACGCTATAAAAATAATACTTTCAAATGGGAAGAAAAGCTCAATGAAGTACAGCACTTCTTATGCGAACAGAGTATTACAGAAAGACTGCTCTTGTTGACTTAATGCTAGAACAAGTTGTTGGTAGAGAGTTTGAAATATTATAGATTGGCATTATGTGCTTTTCTTTTTTAATCTTAGCTTCTGATTATGTAGACATAGATCTTGTGCAACGTTCAGCAGGGAGCAGAATGGTCTCTTGGGCTGTGGTACCAATGAAAGTAGGACCAGGAGCAAAGATTTCCTGGTCTAAGCCTGCAAAATCAGTGGGAAGAGGAGGAGCTGCTCCCCAGACAGTACAGTTCCCATGAGTGGAAGAGCTTCTGGGAGGAAGAGAGCTTGCTAGACAGTTTTTGGCAGCTGAAGCTCCTCCACTTCAGCCTTGGTTGTAGGTGATACAAGCAGGATTCTGTGTTCATCCTTGTTGTCTCCTTATTTTATCTGTCCTGGTAACAACTTGTGGGTTTCCTTCTTGTTTGCAATAGTTAAATGCAAAGTGTTAAACTGCCTGTGTGGCAATGGGGAGCTTAGCAGCAGGAGAAATTCTCCATTTTTCAGAGCCGATGACTGAATTGGCCACTGTGTTCGGACACTGATAGTGGAAACGAGTGACTTCCCTATTTACCATGGGCATCCTTTGGCACTTCAGCAAAAGTGACTGATGCAGGCTAAATTTGAGTGACATATAGCTTGCGAAAAGCATATACAGCCCAACCACAAATTTCCATACATTAACTACAGTGGAATGGAATAAGGTCAGAGAGAAAAACGTGATAAATCTCGGAAGAAGGACATCCAAGGACAGAAATAAGAAGGACTCAGGCTGGAGAGCCGAGTGATTCTCGTAAGACAGAGTTTATTTCATATGAACTACTACTCCTTTTCCCTCTTTCACCATCTAACACAGAAAGCTCTTCTAAAGTACTAAGCTAGAGATCCCTGCCACCTATGAGAGGCCTTACTGCCTTGTTTAGAGGAACTGTTGTGTAGCAGTGCTGGAGTTGTAGCCTCTGGACCATAATTTACTCCCCTAGTCTCTCCAATCCTCATCTGTCATGGCTTCACCTTGAAAGCTTCACCTGCTGCCCCAGAGGGAGTTAGCACAGAGCGCACTGTGTCACGCCGTGCTTGTTCCCTTTTAAACACTTACATACTTTGCTGCATAATTGTCTTTGTGACAACCTGTGTAGCATTTTCTGTTTGTAGGGTGAGGATTTCAACTGTGAGTGATTCAGCAAAAGTTTGTTGTTGCATACTACAGTACTATTATTGAAACATTAAAAAAAAGCTAACATTAGAAATAGCTTCAGAAATTTCTTCAGAGTATTTATACCTCAAAGTATACTGCACTCTTAAATATTTTAGAAGGTAGTGGATATTATAGCATTATGCAAATAATAGTTACAGGGTACTGTAACTGTTTGTGTCTGTGGGTATCTGATGGAGATAGTGACTTGTAGAATTTTATTTACTAAATTAAACATCTTTACTCAGCTGCTTTAGTATCAAGTAGATTTGATTTCTTCCAGAAATGCTGAATAACAGAATAAATGAGAATAACTGCTTTTAAAATAGACTATCAGTAGGAAAGACAAATGGTTGCAGAATAAAAGTGTCCCTTCACACACCTTTTTCTATATTCATGTCTTCCCTTTTTGACTGCAGATCAATAGCTCTTTGCTCTGTTGGTTCAAATAGTATTTCTGTCTTATTCAGATAACTCTGTCCAGCATATTATTTGTAAATTCTGTTTGCAAGCTATTGAAGGGAAATGGGGGAGCTGCATATCATAGGGAAGTGGGAGAGGTGCATATCATAGAGTCCACAAAAACTGAATAGCAATTATTACTTCTTTTAGAGAAAACTACATGCAGAATGAAAGATACTGCTTTTATTAAACAAATAACTGTGGCTGGGAGGTTTTTAGTAGAAGTTCTATACTAAGCTGGTTTATTTACTTAGAATTTATTAGTGAGTATTGTTTAGTACACAAAATTTGCATTAAAACCTGTAATCAGAAAGTTTGTATAAACATAGTATCAAAAGAAGTCAGAGGTTATATGAAGTGTGCACATCCCTGTACCATATTCAGTACCTCAGTGAGGAGTTTATAGCAGAAATTAGGGGTTTATTAGCTGAATTCAGGCTTTGTTGTTCTCTCACTGCATGGTATGGGCTGTTTAGAAAGAGGAAAAAACAACTGGATTAGCAGAAATGTTTGCTTTGATTTTTAGATGCTTCCTTCACTTCTAAAATTTAATTCTGATTAATCAGATACATCTGTCTTTATTTTGTTGTGACATGCATTGATTTGTGATGCTGTCGCTTTCAATAATGCGGAAACAGTTGCCTTTATTATGAGAACCAGCAGAAATCAACATGCAGACTAACTTCATTTTTAATCTTTAATTTTTTTCATTTTATATGGAGCAAGTTGCCTGGCTGATTTTAAAAACAAAACTACAATTAAAACTAGATTAAATTTGAACTAAACCATAGCGCAGAGAACTTTCTAGCCATAATATATGTTTGTGCAGTTCCCAGATGTAGGTTTTACAATATATTTTCAGAACCATTTCTAAATAAGAACCATTGCTGGTATGAGAATTAAATAATTTGTCCAGTATATATCACATTTCTCTGTGCTGTTATTACAATATACATATTCAAACTCCAGCTAGTTCTCTCTCTGTACATTTGCACTGTGTGCACCTCGCTTTATAATTGAAGGTGGTAAAAAAATCATGGTACAATGATGCATTGTTTTCCATAACATTAGTATTTCACATAAGTGAATCTGTATTACAAAATGTATATTTTTGTATGATATTACAGCATAGTAATTTAGATTAAACTAGTTATAATTTATGGTGCCAAGCCAAAAAGCTATTTAAGATGCATTAAAATGCAGAACCATGACATTTGAAATTCTGATGTTCTTAATATGACAAAGGTTATTCTATGGAGTTTTGCTATAATATGA